GAGATGGCTCAGTGGTCTAAAGCACCTACTTAGAATAAGCTTAGCAAAGCACAGGGACGGCGGTTCAATCCCCCAGCACCACATGCCAGCCAGCCTCACTCCCAGGTGGGCCGAGCTGGCCACACACACACACACACACACACACACACTAAATAAACTTTTAAAAAAAGGAAAAGAAAGGACCTATGTGGGAGTATTTTTCTGCAGGTAGTTGCCCACTCTCTTCCAGGAGGTGGCTGCTGGTGCGTTAGCCCCGTACCAGGAGTGGAGGGTGGGCCTTCTCCCTGGCAGACCCAGACCCTCAAGGCACATGTACTGTTCAGTCCAGCCTGCTGGACTCATTTATCGGTCCAGGACAGTGGAGCAGTGACACAGTCTTCATACCCTCTACCTCCTCCGGTGCTTTCCCGAAAATTCCAGAGGCCTCGTGACCCTGAATTCAGAGAACTACACCCTGGAGACCAGGTCCCTCAGGCCATTCCCCAGAAAGAGACGGGTGTGTGTGATCAAGGCTTACCACACGCACCTCCCCGCCTTGGCATTGCACACAAGCTCACTTGAAAACAGGAGCCTCCTATGTTTTGTCCCCCCCCCCAACCTTCTACCAGATTTGTTTATCAGGGCTGGAATATGCCTCAGTGGTACAGTGCCTGGCATGTGCAAGGCCCTGGGTTCCATCCCAGGCACTGTGCCCCCATCAAAGCCTTAGTAACAACAAACCTTTCATAGGCTGAGGGCCCAAACTGCAACCCCAAACCCACTTACTTATTGGAAAGTGGAAACACTACAATAAACCTGAATACTGAGGTTTTACTTCAGAGAAACAACTCATACACTTGGCTCTGTGCCCACAACCAGGGCTCAGTGTGCCTTCCCATGGGATGGGAGCCATAGGCTGGCCATCATTGTCTTAGAACCTTCTACCTTTGTGAGAAAACTGATCAACTTTAAAGCAAGGCTGGGGGCCGGGGAGATAACTCAGTTGAATAAGTGCTTGCCTGGCAAGTGCATGGGCCTGTGTTCAATCCCTGGCTCGGCTAGAAAAAACAAAAAACCCCAAGTCTTGTTCAGTCAACAGTAATGGGCCAGCATTGGTCTCTTTTTGTGATGCTGGGGATCAAATTCAGGGCCTCATAGATGCTGTGTCTCCAGCCTGTATTGGTCTTGTAATTTGTATAAAGTCGCTCAAGAAGTGTAGGATGTCATGACTTAGGGGCAGCTAGAAGGGAGATTCTATACCACCCTTGGAGCTTTCCACTGAACTACTGAAAAAGATCCGCCCGTCTGGGGCAGGGAAGGCAGGCCAGGTATTCCGGTCAGCTGGGACCGAGGGTGGCCATCCCTGCTGTCCCTGGTCAGGCCCCAACTCAGGTGGCCCAAGCTATCAGCGGTCTAGAAAGGCAGTGGCCCAAAACAGGTTGAAGACCTCTGCAGGTACAGGGTTTAGGAAGAACTTTGTTTTTCTTTCTGCCAGTGTGGGCTTTAATTTCCTGCCGTTTTTATAATTAAAAGAAGCGCTACTTCAGCACAAAACGGTTTTCTACCCAAAGCTGGAGTGCGTGGGCAGCGCGCTCCCGGGCCGGGGCAGAGGGGCAGTGGGCTTCGGCTCCTCTCCTCTCCCTCCAGAGCAGCTGCAGCTGCAAACCAGTCACCGGGCAAGGCCTGCGGGCAGTCAGGGACAGGGCACAAGCGGCAGGCCAGTCCTTTAGGCTCGGGCGGACCCGGAGACCGGCCCCGCCGCGGCCGCCGAGCAGCAGAGCATCTGGTGGTCACGGCGCTCGGCCCTTCCGGCTGGGGAGGTGGGCGCGGCCACGCGGCGGGACCCTTGCGGGGCGTGGCTCTGGGGCGTGGTCACTCAGGCTGCGGGGCAGGGTGGGGTCCCTAACCCCGTGGGTGCAGGCGATGAAGCTGTGCCTTAGGGTGCCACCCTCCCGGCCTCATCTCTCACCAAGGCGCCCAGGCTCGCCCCGGGCCCCACTGCCCACAGCAACCCAGAGTGTTCTGGAAGGATGCGCGCTGGCCAGCTGTCAGCGCCCGCAGGCGCCCGCCCTCTAGTGGGGACAGCGGGCAGGAGCGGGCAGGAGCGTCAGCGCAGAGGGAGGCCTCTGAGAGCTGTCTTCTCCTTCTCCTTCTCCTTCTCCTTCTCCTTCTCCTTCTCCTTCTCCTTCTCCTTCTCCTTCTCCTTCTCCTTCTCCTTCTCCTTCTCCTTCTCCTC